TTTTTTTGCCTTTCTTCCCTCTCTTAACAACAGGGAACCCCAGTGTGTAAAGCAGGTAAAAGTGAAGCTATGCAGATTGACCAGGGGGAGGGGACCCACCTGCTTGACTCCCCCTCCCTTACTTCCCTGGGTGGTTTCTGAGGTGTCCTGAGGTTCCTAAAAGCCAAATTGGAAAGCTAAGCGCCTTTCCTGGTGAGAAAATCAAGGCTTAATGGAGACAGCTCCTTTCTCCCATGGGTGCTTTCTGCAGGGCTGGGCTGCTGCTCTCCTGGGCCCCTGGCTGCTTCGGTGATAGGCTGCTTAGAGCAGGGTGCAGTGGAATAAGCAAGGGCTTGGGACAGACAACCTAAGATTGAGCCCCGATTCTGAAAACCAATAGCTGGAGACCTTGAATAACGTAGAACTTCTCTGACCTGCAGGTTCTCAACTTCAAAATGTAGGTGGCTTTTGTTGACATAGTTTATGTAAAGCAGCTAGTGTTGTGGCTATTTAGCACCTTCCAGTGACTCTATGTGGCAAGTATTTTTTATTAAAGGAACTGATGAAGAGTCCGATAGACTAAGTATGGTAGAGAAGGCAGTGGAGAGAAAGGCAGTGAGTGCTGAGTGAGAGGAATCACAGGTTAAATTACTTCATATTGCGATCTGGGCCCCTGAATTCTTTCCACTTTCTATCCAGAGAGGAGGTCATAGCCCTGGCTGTCCTCATCAAACATTGGAACACATTTGAGAGGTGGGGAAGGTGATAAGTCCCGGGTTCTAGCTTAGTGCTGCCTAAGTTACTGGCAATATCTCCCACCAGGAGAGCAGCAGGAGGCTGGGGTCGGGGTGTGGGGAGAGGAAGTGGGCAGTTGGGCGCATGGTTCTCACATACGTTGGTTTTTTTATACTGTGGCTAATGTTGCAGCTACTGGAGCGTTCTTATTACCACACGCCTTGATTCTTTGATAAAGATGTTGAAGTTCTCTTCTTGGCTGTGCTCAGTCATGTGGGCTGAAGATAAAGGGCACCATGTGCTTCCCTTGCCCCTGGGGTCCCTGAGGCCTCTTTGGTCTGTTAGGGCATGGCTGGGTCACAAGGGAAGGAGCCCCAGCCCTGGGCTCTGCTAAGTCCCTTCTGCATCATCTCGGTGGTAGTTCCCAGTGGGACGTGACTCTGAATAACCACATTATTCAGGTCACCTCTGAGATTGACCCTCTTCCTTGAATTTTCTGATCTGCCATTTGCTGCCCTTGTTGTTCATGTTGTTATTCTATGTTTTTGGAAGCAGCCAAACACCACAGTGGGAGGAACTGCCTGAGAAGGTGGCATTCAATTCCTTGCTGTATTAGTAACTCATTATTTGGTCTTGGGCCTTAATTTGCCCATCTCTAAGTGAGAGAATTTAATGATAGAATCTGTATGGTTGCATTGAGCTCTACAAGTCTCCTTTCCTTCCCTGCCCACCTTCCTGTTTAAAGGTACTTAGATCCAGGTTAAAGCTATAGAGAAGTTGGCGAGATCTTATATACAGGTGTTTTAGTGAGTTGTTACTATGTGCTATTCATTGCGTAAGAAACTTTAAAATGTTATCTCATTTAATCCTCACGAAAGCCCTGGTAGACACTATTGCTCCTATTTTGTAGATAAGAGAATTGAGGCTCAGAGATGTTAAACCAGTTGTTGAAGTGACCAGTATGCAATGGAGTGTGTTATGGAACCCTGGTCATCATGACGCTGTGCAGTCAATTTTACTGATGAGCCTTTAGTGTGAGAACCTCTTGAGGAGGAGGACGAGGACGCACTATTTGGGCAGCAGGTCTTCACGGCTAAGTGAAGGGGAAACGGGCACTTATTAGGTGTCAGTGTGTCCACAGTATTGTGCCAGAAACTTTTCACATGTGATCTTCTCTAACCCTCCTGAGAATGATCAAATATGTGGTGTTATTACTGTTTACAGGTAAAAACCTCAGAGTAGTAATGGACTTGATGGAGGGCTCACACCAGCAGTGAGTAACAAGTTTTGGACCTAGGCTGTGAGTTGCCAAAGACTTCCCCTTTCCCAGTTCACATATTCTCTCACTGGAGGTGGACCAGGCTGCCCTGCTCGAGCCTGCCAACAGCCAAGAGGTGGCTGTTTGGAAGTGGGGGATCCCTGTACAAATTCCATGGGTCTCGAAAATTTACATCATGCTGGACAACTAGGCACCTGCCTCTCCTGCTCCAGGACACAGTTGTTCCCAGCTTCCAGAAACTTCCCTCAGTCCCATCCTGGGATGGTAACCTTATTCCACTTTTTAAAAAATATACATTTTTTAAAAATTGATTTCAGAGAGGAAGGGAGAAGGAGAGATGGAAACATCAATGATGAGAGAGAATCATTGATTGACTGCCTCCTGCACGCCCCCACTGGGAATTGAGCCTGCCACCCAGGCACATGCCCTGACCAGGAAGTGAACCATGACCTCCTGATCCACAGCTTGATGCTCAACCACTGAGCCACTCTTTCTTAGCACCAGTGTCTTGAAGAAAGCTGAGTTGATACACTCATGCATGGGGGTGTATGTATGTACACACACATATACATGGGGTTTGTCCCCTCAGCGTGGGTCTATAAGACCTTTGAGGACAGGAAACTCTCAAAAAATGCTTCCTAGAGGAAAACTGGGTTCCTGTTTTCGAGTGAGGATCACGAAATCCTTCATGGGAGATGAGCTCTCTGGAGGCTGCGGGGAGGCCCAAGTATTGGTGATAGTTGATAAAGGGAGCATTTACAAACTTTACAAACTGCTGGGTGAATTTAGGCTGCTAGTCTATGTGGAAATTAGTTATTCAGCTAAAATTGATGACATTGCTATTACATATCTATTACAGGATACGTGTCCAGAATACATGTAGAATAAATTAATTAATGACAAAGTACAAGTAATTCTAATTGCAAGTGACAAAAGCTGATTCTGGCCAAATGAATTAAAAATTTTTAGAAGAATACTGTTCTGCTTATTGAAAGAACACTGGGGAAGGTCTGGAGAACCTGCTGTAAGCCAGGGGGTGTCTTGGGAAGGACAGAACGAGGGTAGCTCTGGGAATCTAGAGGAATTCTAAACTGTGCTCTGTTCCCCTCATAATTCAAATTCCTCAGGGAGTCTGGGTCATGACTGAGAACCTTCCCAGAATCATGTGGAAGGCAAGGGCTAGCTCCACGAAGGAAGGTGTTTTGGGCAGGCACACACACTGAAGGGATCTACTGTAACAGATACATAGGGCAACCCGACCCTGCAGAAGTTTATAGTCAGTGGGGGAAGGACAGACAAATAAAGGGGTAATTAACGGTAGGGTATGTTGGCTGCTTTGTGACCTTGGGGAGGTTTTAAGTTGTACATGTGGGGAAGTGTCAGGTAAGGTTGACAGGTTAAGATTGTTGGAGATTGAGTTTTAAAGGCTAAGTAAAAGTTTGCCAGCTGGACAAATGCATTTCAGGAGGAAGTCCTTGTGTGACAGATCAGCAATATGAAAGAGTGATGTGTCCAGGAAATGCAAGAGTGCCTGGTCTAGAGAGTGCATCACACAGGGAGAAATGTGGGTGGGGCCTGATCTTAAAGGGCCCCATGCTCTGTTAGGCATTGGGACTATTAGTCCTAGGAGGTGAGCTGTCATTGAATGACTTTAAGTAGCAGAAGTACATGATTAGTTCTTAGTTTTAGGAAGATAATTGTGGGGGCTGTAGCAGCTCCTCAAATTTAACTCCTTTGAATATGGCTGTTAAACTTGGGTGGCCGATGGTTCCAGTTGAGCCACAGAATGAAATGATGGAGGCGCTAGTCAAAAGTGACTCCCTGAATGGCTAGAGAGCCCCAAATTTTGATGAGTAGTCCCAGTAACTCCATCTTCTGTGGTAGATCAGGGAGATGATAGCTGTTGAAGAAAAGAGCCCCCTGATGGCTCTCACTGCCTGTGGAGTTCTGAGTGTTTGCAAGTGACATGTCCTGGCTTAGAAGGCCATAGGCCACTGAAGGTTGTGAAGGAGCTGGGTAGGAGGTATACCCCTTCCACCTTCCCCCCAACACCCTGTTCTCCATCTGTGCTTAGAAATAGGCAGTGTGCAGCGCAGCAGTGGTCTGGGAAGAAAATTTGAGAAGAACCTAGCAGAAGCTCAGGCCCTTGGTGCCTGTGGGAAGGGAAGCCCTTCCTTTAGATAGCCATTCAGTGATTTTGCAGAGGAAGTTGAATGAGGTTAAGAAAGCTGGGGTCCTTGGAGGTGGCTGGGGGTAGAGCTTCCTTTTCCTTATAAACATGAACCCTGACAGGGGACAACACAAAGTGCTGTTTCCTTTGCAATAGTGGTTTCAGAAAACAGGAAAATCTTCACTTCTACTGTGAGACTAGTGTTTGGAGGAATTGTGGCTGGAAACTGTTAGGGGTGCCTGGTAGGGTGGATCACACATTTGAACACTGCAGAGAGGGTTGGAACATGGGATCCAAATCCAAGATGGGCTAGAATCTGCCTGTTTTCACATTTTAGCTATGTGACTTTGGTCAAGTTACTTAACCTCTCTGTTTTTGGTTTTCTGACTGGTAAAGTCACCACCACCAACCGCCATCACCACCAAACCTAGCAATATTGAGCACTTACAGTAGGCCAGACACTGCAGAAGTGTTTTATATTTATCATCTCATTGATTTCTTAAGCAATGCAGTAAGTAGTGTTATTATTAACATTTCACAGATAAGGAAACTGAGACACAGCGAGGATGGTAACTTGCCCGTCTCTCCCTCTCCCACCCTGCAAAAAAAAAAAGAAAAAAAGAAAAGAAAAATCAGTAAATAGTGGAACTAGGATTTAAATTCAGACTGGGTGACCTCGGAGTTTGACACATCCCATAGCTGTCTGTGTTTTCAAGGAGATTATATGTGTAAAGTGCTTAAGGCAGCTATAGCTCCTGGCCCTTAGTGAGCACCTAGCACCGTTAGCAAGCTCTTGTGCTTTTTGTCTCACCTGCTCCTTTGTGTCTCTCCCAGAAGCAGCTGACACAGGATGATGATGCCGATGAGGTCGAGATTGCCGTTGACAACACAGCCTTCATGGATGAGTTCTTCTCTGAGGTAGGCTAAATGTACATAAGGAAACACAGCTTCCTCAGTAAAGAATAAAACCCTCAGATCTTCCCATGGTAGCAAAGAAAGTCAGTCTTTCCCTGGGGAGGGGTGGTATGACCAAGACGTTACAAGGAGAATCTCTCCAAGACTTACTTGGGCGGATTAATCTATGGAGAAAGTCAGCACAAGGTAAATTATATGTGATTGAAGAGGTGCTTTTAAAGTTTTTTTGTTTTTTAATATATTTTTATTGATTTCAGAGAGGAAGAGAGAGGGAGAGAGAGATAGAAACATCAGTGATGGAGAGAATCATTGATTGGCTACCCCCTTCATGCAAGGTGTGGATGAAGTCACAGGACGAGGATGGTTTCAAAATGTGCTTTGCACTGTGAAATTCCAATGGTTTCTCCAGCTTCTTGATTGTTAGATAAGAGAATTGGCCCTTGAGTTTTCAGGCCTCCTTGGCTGGGCAAGCCGGGGTCTAGTAAATGATAAACCTCAGACTTTTGTCTAATTTGCATTTGTCTGTATTTTCCTTGGCCTGTTTGCTCAGTTGGCAGAGAGAGAGAGAGAGAGAGCGAGCGAGCGAGAGAGAGAGAGAGAGAGAGAGCAGAGTTTCAGAGAAAACAGACCATACCTGAGAAGGCAGAAAGATGAAGGGTTTATTGTTCTATATTCATTCATCCATTCATCTAATCATGGGAAGACATGACTGCCACTGGCCTCCAGAGAGTGTACTAGGTACTGGGGATAGAACCTTCTGTGTGACAGGGGTCTTGCCTTCTGGTGGCTCCTTGTCTGGTGAGGGTGACAGAAAAATTTAAAAAGTCACATGATAATAAGTGTCAACAGGTAGTAAAGTGGGGGCACAGAAGAGGAAGCCTCATGCTCTGTCGGGATAGAGGGAAAAGGGAGGGGACGGCAGGCCTCATCGCTTTGAAACTAGACTTGCCCATCAGAGTTGCCTGGGAGTTGTTTGCACATACACTTGACACAGCGGGCCTGGAATGCTCAGACTTCTGAAGTTCTTCCAGATGCTTCTGTTGCCTGCTGCAGCTACAAACTCCAGCGAAGTAATGGGGAGCCTTTGAACGTTTTAAACAAGAAACTAATGGGATTGAGGTGACTTTTAGAAAATTATTCTGGTGGTAGTGTGTGGAGAGGGAGAGGCCAGAAAAGGAAAGATCAGTAAGTTTCCATGCCCAGCTAATGGGAAAAAGGAGCGCTCTGCCTGAATCTGGGTCGCTGAGCAGCAGCACGGTGTATCACTTAGGGATGCCTTCATGTAACTGTGGCTTAAGCAATAAAGACATGAATGATTTCACATATAAACAAGTCTGGAGTTAGGGATGGTGCAGCGGGTTAGAGGTGTTGGGGTTCTAGGTCAATAACTCTCTGACCCTCTTGGCTTTTCCCTTAGGATTGAGAGATGGAGTTTGTTTGGATTATTGCTGTATAGCAAATTGCTGTAACCGTTAGTGGTGTAACCAACCTTTTTGGTGATTCTGATAGAGTCTGTGGAGTAGAAATTCAGACAGGGCACAGTGGCAAACAGGGCATAGTGGAGATGGCTGAGTTTTGCCCCACAATTTCTGGAGCCTTAGTTGTGAAGAATTGAACATCCAGAGGCAGGAATCTTTATTCTAACATCGAGAGAGACTTCTGTATTCTAACATTGGTGCCTGAACTAGAGGGACTCAGGAAGGCTCAGCAGAGCCTGTCAATTGGAGTGCCTACACTTGGCCGCTTTCTGTGGCTTGGACTTCTCAACACCACCAAGTCAGGGTGTGAGGTTGGTACTCAGACACTCAGGGGTCTAAGGCAAGTGTTCCAGCTATGGAAGTCACCTGTGCTATACTCTGTTGTTGAAGCAGATTCAAAAGGGCAATACATAGAGTACCACCTCTCAATGGGAGGGGCATTAAAGAATGGGAGGGGCATTAAAGAATTTGTGTTGTGTTCTACAGCCACCATAGTCACAGCTGCATATGGCATTGTCCTATACCAGCCTCACAAGAAGTGAGAAAGGGGGCAGCTAGAAAAGTTCAAAGATGTTTCATCACGGAAGAAGATGACACAAATCCTCCAAGTTGACTTTCCCTTGTTACCCATTGGCCAGCAATGGATCACATGGTTGTGGCCAGGCTTGGCTAGAAGGGAGGCCAGGAGGGTGACTCCTTCGCAAAGGGACAGGATTGTCAGGATGGCCATAGAACCCATCGTGATTCATCCTCTGGTGATGGCAGCATTGCTGCCCAAACAAAATCAGAACTCTGGTAACAAGAAGGGCAGGGGCTGGCATGTGGGTGTTTGGTGGGTCAGAGTGCTTGTCATGGACGGCAGTGTGAGATGCAAAAAGACTTCTGGGATCAAATATGTCTGAGAAATGCTTCCTATTCCTTCCTACCATGGAGAGGTAAAATCCACATTAACTTATTAAAGGCTCCAAGAGGTCCTGTAATAAAGAGACCTGCTTTGCTTGCCTACTTTTTTCACAGAAACCTTTTTGATGTGTAACGTCTTTTAACAAGGGTGAATGAATACATTTTGGAAAATGCTATTAGAAAGTTTTCTTTTCTGGCTGTGCTTTTAAAAAGTTGATGAGACAGTTCTGCAGTGGTGTATGCTTGTCTCCTGCAGTTACTTATGACCATTTATTTATTCACTGAACAAACTTCTATGAAGTGACACCACATGTTTGGCACAATGATGGATGTCAAGTTTTCTAAGAGGAACAAGACAGTCCCAGTCCTTGAGCAGCTCTGAGTCAGGACTGGGAGAAGTGAGAGTGGGTGGAGTGTGGGCAAAGTGCCATGGGGCTTTGGAGAGTGGAGCGTGTCTGGTTAGAGAACTGGGGGTGGGGGTGAGGGTGGGGTGAGCAGTCTTAAAAGCCTAGGGATTTGCTAGGTGGGCTTGAGTTTTGTTAACATTAAGAACCTCAAAGTGAATGTGACTTTGAAATCCAGGCATTAAGTAAAATATAGCAGGTTAAATACTCCTTGATTCTTTCTGTATGTAGACTGTTTGAATGACCAGGGGAGCTGGTAGGTTCTGCATTTCTGGGCTCCCCAATAGGCAGGCAGGAAGCCCTTGCCAGTCATTTGCCTATTTGCTCTCAGGTCCATTCCCCACCCTTCCTGTACTCTGCTCTACATTGCAGGGAACTCATTTCCCAGGTTCCCTTGCCAACTGGCTTTGGTGTGTTTGACCTAGGGGAGGCACTGGCACTGGCGGAAGACTCAAGAGGAGGGAAGAGGCCATGGTATTCCTCCCCAGACATGTCTCTCCCATGCCTCAGCTTTCACTCAACAGACCTTGCCTCTAGCCCGTTCTGCTGGTCACTTCACCGTGGTCTGGCTCCCATGTTTGTCCATTCATCCTGCTGTAGTTGATTTTCAGTGTCTTACCATCCTCTTCTTGGCCCTTCCATCTCTGTGTAAAGAATACCCTTCATTCCATTACTTCAATTAAAATAACTAGGTATGTTTTTGTTTTCCTGACTAAATTTTGATGATGCAAAAGCCCACATACACGGAATGATTTAAGATTGTTGTCTGAGAATACTAGTTTTCACTGTTCAGTATAACTCTGAGATCGTTCATTTCTTTTCATTCATAAGAGGGAGTTGAAACACTAGTCCCAATCTTGATAAAACCCCTGAGGGATTTGACTTCTGATGCTTGGCTGACTAAGATTTCTCTCTGTTACTTCTCGTCAATGTTTTTTGTTTTCCAAAGCCAAGAAGCCATGCTCATATATACACATATGGCTGTGTCCACCCTTCTCTCCCAGTGTGTTTTCTAAACCTTTGCTTATACAACATGTACATATTTGTGTGTGGTGGTGGTGGGAGCCTCCAAATGGCCTGGTTGCAGGCTCCTCAAAGGTGTAATATATCAAATTTTCTGTCATTGTGATGTGTTTTTTTTTTTTTAAAGATCAATTTGATGTACAGTCTCACAAACATTGGTGTTGTATTAAAATAAGGCTTTCTTTTTTCTTTCTAATAAAAAAATCACCTTTGTTTCAGTGAAAAAAAAAGTAAATAAAAGAGGATTTGATTGAGAACTCCTTATATGTGAACTGTTTCGGATTATACCATTTTTGGGGAAATTAATGAATTGTGAAAAGGAAGAGTTATTATGTGACCCTTCAACTCCCTTACTTTTGTCACATTAGAGGGGTGGCATATAATACATTTTAAATAAATAAATATGCAGGAATTAATGCCTAACTGCAGGTACAGGTACATGGGAACTTAGGGGAGCAGAGATGTTGTAGGTAGAATGGACAAAGCCTTCTCCCCTAGGCCACTACTCGCTCTCCAAAATGGTATTTCTCTGTTTTCATTGTCTAAATTCCACTGGCTAATTAGCTCCAGAGGGAAGAGGCCATCCATGCCTTGAAGATAACCCCTCCTTTCAGTTAGATGATAGTGATTAGTATACTGTGCTAATTATAATTCCATGAGGTAGACACCCAACTTGAGGAGTGGTTGACTTGCTGTCCTTACTTGATTTCCTTGGGTGGCTTCTGACAACATCACCCAGCATTTTGTTACTGTTAGGATTGCCATGAGGATTAAATGCGGTATCCCTGTGTAGGCACAGCATGGGACCTGGCATATAATAAATGTGCAGTAATTGTTGGTTATCATTGTATTATCATCACCATCATTTATGTTTATTGAGCATATACTTTGTGTTACGTGTTTGACTTGTATTATCTCATTTAAACCCCACAAAACCTCTAGGAAGTGGAAACTAATCCTCATTTCACCGGTGAGAGAACTGGGGCAGGTCGTGGTGGTAAGTGGTTTGTTCAAGGTCACAAAACTGCCAAGAGATAGAGCTGAACCTTGAACTTGTTCAATTTGATTCTAACTTGTTTTCCACATTGCTGAAAAATCACTGAAAAATACATTTTAAAAAGTAACATACAATAAGCAGGCATTGAAGATATGTTAGCTACAAATTTAGCATGGTGATGAGAAAAACCTGATTGGTTCCCCAGATCAGCAGTGTTTCATGAGCACCCTTGTGTAAAAAGCTCTCCATAGGGGAGCATTGGTTAGAGAACAAAGAAATGCAGCAGATGATCTCAGTGAGAGGTCACTAAGTCCCTCTCACACAACAGTGAGTCGAACATGCACTCACTGGATGATAGCATGGACCTGGGAGAGGAGGCAGAGGAGCCTCCCATAGGTGGTTCTTGCACCTTCACCTGGTTCAGGAGACAGGGTTTAACAGATGCCAACATTCATACCTTGGTTTCACCTTTCTGCAGTATGGCCTTGAGTGAGTTTCTCTACCTCTTTGAGCCACAGTGTTCTCATGCATAAAAGGCAGAAAGTGACGGTGACTTCACAGACATCTTGTGAAGGCCCTTATTTCAGATACAGGTACATGTTAAAGCGGTTTTAGTCTTTAAACATATTATTGTGCTGGGTAATGTTAACCCCAAACAACCACACAATAGCCTTGAGCATTAGGTTCCGCACTTGTAGATTTCCTACTAGGTTCCTGATTCCTGGGTTGAGGATGGAGCACACGGCCCTGTTCTCCCATCCGCAGGGCTGGGCAAGCCATTTCCTATCCAGTCTCCAAATGTCTGGAGTGACTCTGAGCTTGGGGCCCAGCCATCTCATCCTAGCAGCTCCCTGTCACGTTTTTTATACCATTGACCAAACTTTGGGTCATGATGCTCTTCAGTTTGTGAAATAAAATTCCAGAATATATTTTCTAAAACATCCAATCCATTGAACATGCAAAAATCTAAGGCCTCTGACTAGTGAAAATATGTCAAGCTCATTTATCAATGGTTAGTGTATGTTATTCTAGAAAGCCTTTATTTCTCAGTCCTGTTTATGTAATGCAATTGCTTTGGCAAGACAGTCATGTGATGGAAATGGGAATTTGGTGTGATGCAATGACATTTAATGAGTTGTTAAGAGGAGCCAGTGTCTGGTGTGAGAGATAAAGAGGAAGGGAAGGAAAAAGCGACAACTTCTGGGTCACCCGAGGGCCTGATTCTGAGGTGGTTACACCCTTGGTCTGCCGGATTTCACAGGTGATGATATATGCCATTTTTATAGTCACAGAGACTTGGATTCTGCTAAAAGTGAAACAGTTTGGAAAAGCCAACCATCAGGTCGTAGATCTAATGGGAAAGCATCCTAGTTGGAGTCTGGAGAGCACCAACATTTAGGCTCCTCATTTGAATAAAGGTACTAATGTAGTACTGTGGATTGTTTTGCCAACCGATAAATGTTTGGATGGCTACTTACATTTGTATATATACTCTGAAGATATTACATTGAAATTTTATTTTACGTCTTTTAACTCTCCAACTGTGGCCCACCAAGGCCAATATTTATAAAAGCGAAGACCCCTGGTCCAGTAGCAAAAATACTAATTTGAGGGTTCGAGAACTCAAGTTTTATTTCTCCCATGTTCTATGCAATTTGGAGAGGTATGATCTGGTGTAATCAGTGGTCGGCAAACTCATTAGTCAACAGAGCCAAATATCAACAGTACTTCTTCAAAATAGACTTGCACAGGCCGAAAACTGACTTCTGCGCATGGGCCACGAAGTTTCAATTGCACTGTATGTGCACACCCGCACGTGGTATTTTGTGGAAGAGCCACACTCAAGGGGCCAAAGAGCTGCATGTGGCTTGTGAGCCGCAATTTGCTGACCACGGGTTATAATTATTTATGGAAGAAAAGGGTTCTGAAAGCCGCAAATTGAGATGTGTTTCTTTTTAAAAAATATATTTTTATTGATTTCAGGGAGGAAGGGAGAGGCAGGGAGAGAGAGATAGAAACATCAGTGGTGAGAGAGAATCATTGATTGGCCACCTCCTGCTCACTCTCTACTGGGGATCGAGCCCACAATCTGGCAACGCCCTACCACTGAGCCATCCCACTGGGTGAGATGTATTTCTGTTGCATCTCAGATGTTCAGATTCGCCTGTATGGCATTTTACATAATTTATGTTTGTTAATTGTTGCCTCATTGATGTGCCCCTCATTTTGGGAGTGAGGCAGATAAACGATGTGGGTTTTCAGGTCTCGGCAGCTTTCACCACATCTGAGGACAAGGGGCCAGGGGGCCAGGGGTCAGGGGGCAGGTGGCTCGTGCCTTTGAAGAGGGGCTGAGGATGCTCTTAATGCTCTGAGGCAGTGTCCTATGTTGGGGTTCTCTCTGGGAACGAAGTGCTCCTGGAAATACTTTAGGACACATACCCGTACAATCAGGAGCCTTAGGAGTATGCAGAAGCAGTCATGGCTGGAGCTTCAGGGTCGTGATCATATGAGGGAATCAGCTATCCTATATAATAAAAGGGTAATATGCAAATTGACCCAACGGCAGAATGACCAATCACTATGACGTGCACTGACCACCAGGGGGCAGACGCTAAACTCAGGAACTGCCCCCTGGTGGTCAGTGCAATGCTGCTCAGCCAGAAGCCAGGCTCATGGCTGGCAAGCGCTATGGCAGTGTCGGGAGCCTCTCCAGTCTCCATGGCAGTGCTAAGGATGTTCGACTGCCGGCTTAGGCCTGCTCCCCATGAGGGAGGGCCTAAGTCGGCAGTCGGACATCCTCTGAGGGCTCCTGGGCTGCGAGAGGGTGCAGGCCGGGCTGAGGGACACCCTCCCCCCAAGTGCACGAATTTTGTGCACCGGGCCTCTAGTACAATATGTTGGAGAAATAATATGTAGTAGTAATATGTTGGAGAAAAACTTGAGCTGCCTCTTGAGGTGGTCACACTTAGTCTCTCTCTTTCTCTGTTTCTGTCTCACTATTCCTTTCATTCTTTCCTCTTTGCTTTTTACTCTCTAAGTTGGTTCTCTCCCTTTCACTTTTTTCTTTCCTTCTTCCTCTTTTTCCCTCTCCCATTCTCTCTCTTTTCTCACCTTTGGGGGTGCAGTGCAGGTGGCTAAAGGATCTGCCTTATCAGGTGCGTTGGCCCTTCTCTCTGATTCCTCTTCATGGGTTTTCCTGGCTCTTCTGCACTCTAGCCTGAATCCTCCCCTCTAAGGTGGGCAGATGAATGTGAATTTCCAATGACTGCTCTGCTGAGATTAGTTTACTCACTGGGTAGCAGAAGACATTTCAGTCATATCTTCTTCCACAAACCCAGAAGGTGGGCAGCTTTCACTAGGGAGCTCTGCTCAGCTTCATCTCATTCATGGATATAGTCTTCCTCTATGATGACCAAGGCTGTTGTCTTTCTGATTATAGATCGAGGAAACTCGGCTCAACATTGACAAGATCTCTGAGCATGTAGAGGGGGCTAAGAAACTCTACAGTATCATTCTGTCTGCACCAATTCCAGAACCAAGTGAGTGTTTATCCAGAGATGAGTCACCCATTGATGACCCTTGGCATAGGGGCTGAGCCAATCTTGTTTTTCCTTCCCTCTGTGAACAGCAGGGCAGCGTACATATGCATTATATTCCACCAGTGTGCACATCATATCATCTCCCATCCTCCTTTACCCTATCTGGGCTCACCCTGCTCAACCATAGTCAGCTCTTCTCTTCATGGTCCTGCGTAATCCATGCAGTGAAACTCCTCTACTTCCCAACTGGTTGCTCATGACTGACAGTGACTCTTCCTGCTTCTAATGAACCTTATCACAGCCCCACCTCTGCCCCTTTGCTTGTGCTATCTCCTAAGTCTTACCAGATCAAGTGCATTATTTTTTCATGAGGCTTTACAAAATGGTTCAATCACATCAGTTCCTCCCATCACTAATAATCTCCTGTTAATTACCAGCATGGAGGCAAAATTTCCCCCCTAATTATTTCAAATTTTTAGAGTAGAGTTTAGGGTTATATTTTAGATTCCATAAGAACAAGGAACAAGTTTGTTACTGTTCAACTTTTTCAGTGACTCTCTGTTACCTAAAGATTAAAGTTGAAACGTGTTAGTAGAGCCTATGGCATGGTCTTGGCCACATTTTTGCCATCCTTCCCCATGGTACCCACACTGTAGCCAGACCAAACTTTGTTCCCCAAATGCTTCTTGTCCCCAAAGGTCTTGCACATACTGTTTTTCCTCCCTGAGACTTCAGTCTTAGTCTCTTTTCCAACCTGGTTAACTCTTAGTCCTTCTTTAAGACTCAGTCCTATTATCATCTGTCTTTAAAAGCCTTTCCAGGTCCCTCCAGTTGTGCTAGTGGGCTCTTCCTAACCATCCCATCCCATGCATGCCTTGACCAGAACTCACAGCTTAATCCACACTGCATATTAGAACTGCAATCAATGGTGTCCCTTTTGTCCCTTGTTCCCCACTAGACCCTGAACAGCTTGAAGGCAGACTCTATATCTTTTCAATGAAAACTTAGGTTCTACCTCAGTTCCATGCTTGTAGTAGGTGCTGTAGGGTGGTCATAGCTAATACTCATTTTGCTCCATACCTCCTAGGACAGCATTGTGTGTCATAAATATATGCTTGATTCTAAGTTGATGAACATGGAATTCTTTTCTCCCCAGAAGTCCCATAAAAATCCTATTCTCCCTTCTAAATGGAAGCCCTTATGGTAAACTGGATTATTTCCTCTAAAAACAAGGTTCTCAAAATTTGTGTGCTGGAGAATTACTTGGGAAGGCTTGTTAAAAAGACAGATGGTGGAGATCCAACCCTGGGGGTTTTTATTCTGTAGGTCTGGGATGGAATGCCTGGAAAATGCCTTTAAAAGTAAGCTCTCTCTGATTCTAATGATGGAGAGCACACTAGAATCAATATTGCTCTGGGCATTAATTAGTCTTTTCTAACTGATCATACCTGCCTTTGTTTACCCAGAAACCAAGGATGACCTAGAGCAGCTCACGACTGAAATCAAGAAAAGGGCCAACAACGTCCGGAACAAACTAAAGAGTAAGAAGGGAGGAAAGGGAACAAGCCAGCCCCGACCACTATCTATTGTCACATCCACAGGGTCCAAATCTCCTGGACCAAAACTCATCCTGGTGCAAGCAAAGCCACTTGTTCTATCTTTGCCTGTGGTTTGGGCACTCTCCCCAGAAATTTGCCTGTTCTTGATCATGACTGTGTTTGAAAGAGTGCAGAATTGAAGTTAAGAGATGGGCATTGACGTGTGCTTTCTGAGTAGTGTGACTTGGCAGCTTTCACTAAGGAGCTCTGCCTTTCTCTGTTTCCCCAGCACCTATGTACATTTGAATAGTGATAGTAGAGATATATAGATGCACAATATATTATTTAGTCTATTGACATTTCTTGGGGGTGTATATCACCAGCCATTACCTTAGCCCCACCCCTCAGTTTAGAGCATTGTTCAATGAGCAGTGTCATAGATTTAATTCCTCTGGGGGCCTAGAAGGTCTCTCAGTTCAATGGCTGTGGTCTGCATCTCTGTCCAGTGTTTTTGGTGAATGTATGTTATTGGTCATAGAGTGAAATCAGCATTGTTCAGCCCAAGTTATTTCTTTTTCCCTCAAAACAAATCACTGTACTTGTTTTCGTGGGGGTAGAGGTGGTGGTCATAGTAGCAACTTCCAATAATAGCAATGATGGTGTGTCTGCCACTGAGCCAAGCACTCTGTGCGCAGTCCCATTTAATCTTCACATCAAGATTGTGAGGGAGGTGCTATATGTATTCCATTTTATAGGTGAGGCAATACTGAGAAAGGTGAAATGGCTTTCCAAAAGTCACACAGCTAGTAAGTGGCAGGACAAGGGTTTGAGACTGAGTTTCTTGGTGACTAAGGCTCATGCTGTGCTAAGATATACCCAAAGAATACCTGGTAATGCAAGTCCTGTGGCTCACATGTGAGCTGACTTTCAGAGATTGTACCTGCCTATTGCTCCATCTCCATGGGCTGGGTGTGTGAGAATGAGCAAGGAGATTTGTATTGACCAGTGTGTTTCTCAGAGGAGAGCAGCAGGTGTGTTGCTGGAATAATCTATCTCTTTGCTCCAGGCATGGAGAGGCACATTGAAGAAGACGAGGTCCGCTCGTCTGCAGACCTTCGTATTCGAAAATCCCAGGTAAGACTTTCTCTGGTTTAACTATCATCTAGTTTAATCTCTTAATTTATTTTTTTCTTAGCTCAGGGTTGTTTTTTTTGTTTTGTTTTGTTTTTAAGTACAATTCTTATTTGGAACTCAACTGGGAACTGCAAAGGAGGAGCTGTCCAGGTTAAAGTAGAGAACAGGGCTGAAGTCCAGCCCTCCTGGCCACTCTGATACTCTCCTCCAAGGAGGTCCCTGAAGAACTTCCTCGGGCTCCCAAAACATAGTTTAGGATTTTGTATGCATCCTTGTTTTACAGGGGAGGAAATTGAAGTCTTCTCTCTAAAGATTGTTTATCATTAGTTGTCCAGTTTGGAGTTAGGCTCTTTGGTGGACATCAAAGATAATGATCCTGTCCTTGAAGAACTAGCATGATGTTCAGGTGGCATAAGGAACCTGTTATGAAAGGCAGTGTAAGAATACATAATCTATTGCATATGTTCTTAGCATTAAAAGACCTCAGGAAGAATTGGGGGTAGCCAGAGGAGGCTGGGCCTTGGGTGAGTAAGAGTGCCCACATGGACAGACAGGCTCAGGGGTAGAGGTTCAGGGTGTGTGTGTCTCTCTGTGTGTCTGTGAGTCTGCAGGTGTGTGTATCTGTGTTTGTTGGTGTATATGGTGTGTGTGGGGGTGTGTGTGTTGGTGGTGATGGGGGTGAGGTAGGGATGAAGGACAAACATGAAGAGAGTTCATTTGCTTTCTAGGGACTCTGATTGTGATCGAGTCACCTGTATGTATTTGCTTTAGGTTGAAGTCTTTTAGTTTGAAAGTTGGCTCAGAGCGGGGAAGAGGCAAGAGGAAAGTAGGCTAGGTAGGTTTTTGCATTGATTATGTTTCTGAATTTTCACAGTGGTAGTAGGTTTGAAAAAGTATAAATATTGGTGATTTTTCAAACCAGTGGTGCTTAATGGCTATTGAGTGAAGGCATTCACTTTTTTTATTTAGAAGCAAAAAGAGTTGGGGAGAAGAGTTTAAGAATTCAGGACTTTGGCAGGTATGGGATGTAGAAAGGGAATCTGACAGCTTTAGAAAGCAGGCCAAGAGTTGTGCCAGAAAAATGCTCCTCGTCCATGTGGGTGCAGGGCTCAGATTCATGGAGTATCTTGTCTGGCCTCACAAGTACCACATGAGGTCAGCAGGGCAGGTAAACCTGCTGAAGACAGGCTTTGGAAAGATCAGTGGATCTCCCATTGGTGTAAAGTTAGAACACCAAAAAGTTGAGTCTGATATAGTCTTTTATATGTTAGTCTTTTGGTTCCAAGGCCAGTGCTGCTGGAGATGAAGCTATGTGGGGTGGTGTTGGGGGTGGGGGTTCTACAGCAGTTAGGGACCTTCCCCCTCCCTCACCTACTGCATTTGACATTCTTCCGACAGCACTCTGTCCTCTCCCGGAAGTTTGTGGAGGTGATGACCAAATATAATGAGGCTCAAGTGGACTTTCGTGAACGCAGCAAAGGGCGAATCCAGCGGCAGCTCGAAATCAGTGCGTGTCTGAAATTTCATGGTGCTTCTTACGCTTTCCTGCCACATGGTTGTCTGCCCCAGTTGTGAGATCTGGGGAGAAGGAGCAGCAACCATGCTTGGGCTTCCATCTCATATTCTGTGCCCATGCCCGGGACACTCCCTGGATGCTGGTTCTTAGGCTGAAGGTGGCTCCGTGTTTATCAGGCCCAAGCAATTTTGTCTTTATGGAGGCCAGCGTTTCCTATACGTAGAGAGGAGACACTTGCTAAACAATGGCTCTCCTGGGGACTCAAGATGTTTTTTGCTGTCTTTTTGATAGCAAAGACCATTTATGAAATAAAAGGTGCTGTGAGGAACGAGGGCATTAATGAAGCTGTGCTCTTTAGGAATTTGGTAATGTGGAACTCAGGGCCCTGTGGGGCAGCGGGGCTGGGAGTGCCCTGTAAGTGGAAGAACTGTAGGAACAAGGACGTTGTGAAAGGAACACAAGTGTATTTAGGAGTGGCAGGCTGTCCAGGGTCTGGGGAAAGTGTGCATTTGGGAATAACAGTGAGAGGTTAACGGGGATGCAGGAAGGGTCCACCCAGCAACTGACTCCTTGTCCTGAGGGCCTTGGTCGCTGAGGCGTAGTGATGGGACCAGTCAATGTTCTGAGCTGGGAAGAATGTGATCAGGTATATATTTCAGGAAGATAATTGCTGATTATGTTAACAATGAATCAGATTATGGGAGAAATCGAGGACAGATGAGTCAGGAAAACGTTCGGAGAGTGTTGTAAAGGCCATGGTCTTTACAGTGGAGTTACCATATTCCTAATCTTCAGGGAACTTTTGAAATGGTGTGTTTTGACCTTATATTCGATGTTCTGCTTCTGTTATAAAGCTGGCAAGAAGACCACAGATGAGGAGCTAGAGGAGATGTTGGAGAGTGGAAATCCTGCCATCTTCACTTCTGGGGTGAGTGACTCGGGAGCTGGGGTGTATGCCCCTCCACAGAGGAGGGAGGCCACTGGGAGCTCCATTCGGGTAGCCAGAGAAGGGTGGGCTGCAGGTGCAGGGAGGCAGGGGATGTGAGGAGCTGGGCAGGAGGGGATGTGAAGGCTGCAGCAGGGGATGGTGGCTGATGACCTGTCATTGTGCGGCCTCTTGTAGATCATTGACTCTCAGATTTCCAAGCAAGCCCTCAGTGAGATCGAGGGACGGCACAAAGACATCGTGAGGCTGGAGAGCAGCATCAAGGAGCTCCATGACATGTTTATGGACATCGCCATGCTGGTGGAGAATCAGGTAACTGGCCATGGGTATCAGTGTGGGAGGGAGGAGAGGGAAGCTCAGGTACTTCTGAAAATGGTGAGGAAGAGAACATGAGGAGCCAGGTGAGGGAGCATCATCAGAATTTGCTTGAAGGAGAAACAGAATACCAGTATCCCAGGGAAAGGAGTGCACACTTGGACCCTGACACATGGGGCAGTCCTGGCTTCTCATTCTTTTTAGTACTTTGGGCTCACAGTCATTTCTAGTTAATATGGGGTTACAAGTATCTTTCAAGTGCCCAGTTTCCTCCAGACTCAGGTTCTATTTTTATTTGCTTTTTAAAGTTAGATATATGGGTTCTTAATGAAGATGCCTTCAAAGTCTCCTGATATAAACTGTTTCACTGGTGAAAAGTTAGATTTAATAGAAGTTTTTATTATTTTCCATTTTTGTTTTTTATTTTATATTTGTTCTTCCAAAAATGTTGCCACTTTTGGCTCAGAAACAAGAGTAGATAACAAAGTGAATGAAGGAATAGCACAGTATTTACATAAAAACTTGAAACACAAATGGTGCTTAGCTGGACAGCTTGTTCTGTCCCTGGGCACACTTCTCAGGGATGCGAGTCTCTGTCTCCTGCGTGCAGTGTTAGTTTCACATAGTCAGACAGCCCGGTGTTGTGGTGTCGTGCCGATATCACTGAACCTGCAGCTGCTTGGCCAGCTGGACAGGACTGAGAACTGCTTCATTTGAAGGACTGCAGAACTGAACTGTAGCCCGAGCACTGCCTGGCAGCACTGCCTGGCAGCACTGCCTGCCTGGCAGTTGACATCAGTTCCCTGCTCAGGGCTCAGTGCCATTCTTCCTCCCAGTCTGGCCTTTGAGACCATGTTGTTAGTCCTTCCATCCCCACTTTTCCTTTTTCTCCCCACACTGCCTTGCCGAGGAGCTGGTTTGAGATCCAAGTGGTGGTAAGTGCCTTTCCCTGTTGACAGACTGTTGTAAAACGATGGGTCGAGTTGAAGGAAGATGTAGGTAGGTGAGGGGAATTCCCATCCTAAGGTGCCCAGAAATTAATTGTAATGAGAGCACTTCTTGTCAGGAAGTAATAGCTGGGAAATAGGTTGGGAATCTTCTTAAGAGATCACTGTCTCTTAGCCACATAGTTTGGGTGAACCCAGTGTGTCACTTAAGGGGCCTGGGAATATCTCTGAGAAAGCACATGTTCCCACCCTCAGATATTTATGGAGTACCGACTGTGTGCCAGGCACCATTCAATGGTATTGAACAAACTTAGTTCAAGCCAAATGAACTTGATTCGGGTCTGAATGACCAGGAAGAGGCCAGGACCCTGGTAATAGGTAAATCAGGGGAAAAGGTGGGCATGTGCCCTCTGAAGGCCACACATCAGGTTTTCTGGATGCTCCCCTTGGCATTGAAGATAATAATGTGGGGCTAGGACTGTCTGGGGGAGGAGGGACGGTTATTAAGTTTGACTAGTGTCTGTTCTTTGCAGGGCGAGATGTTAGATAACATAGAGCTGAATGTCATGCACACAGTGGACCACGTGGAGAAGGCACGGGATGAAACCAAAAAAGCCGTGAAATACCAGGGGCAGGCCCGGAAGGTGAGACGCCCTCCGCCTTCAGGGAAGAGTCCATGTTGTGCGCTATCTCTCGCTCTTTCTTCCCTCTCTCTGTCTCTTCTTCTGCTGCCACCACCTCTTGCATCCCGGGAAAGGGAGCCATGATTGACCGTATCGAGAACAACATGGACCAGTCAGTGGGTTTCGTGGAGCGAGCCGTTACCGATACCAAAAAAGCTGTCAAGTATCAGAGTGAAGCTCGGAGGGTGAGCGCCTTAGTCCCAGCTGGTCCTACTTGCCTCTCCTCTCTCCAGTTATCCCCACTTGTGTCTTTGAGCCTGTGCCTTCTCTCTCTGTCCTGGCCTCATCCAAACACCTGTGTCGGCCTCTCCTAGAGACTAGCTGTCCTTCCTTCCCGTGCTGTGCCTCTCATGGATCTGGCTCACAGGCTCGCACCCAAGAACCACACTGAAGGCAGTTCTGTAGGGTGGAGCGATTGCCCGGGTGTTCCTCCTGGGCAAATGTTATACGTGACTCCTCTGAAACCTTCTCTTCCACTCAAGCAGCCCAAGATCCCCCCCACCTCCGCCCTTTCTCTACCAGGAAATCAGTGCTGTGCTGATTGTTGTGAAAAATGGTGTATCTTATGGAGCACCTATTAGTTCTATTTCATAGATGACAGGAGGGTCAGAGGCTAATTGGCTTCAGGCCACCTAGTCAGCATAGGAGCTTGGATTCAGACTCAGATCCTAATCATGCTCTTCCCACCACACCATCCTATCTCCCCACCCACTTCCTTCTGGTGCCCTGATGCTGGAGGCCTTCTGGCTTCTCTGCCCATTGACTGGTAGCCAGCTCTGTGGCTTTTGCTTGCTCTTTAGACGTTTCTTTCCTGTTCCTCCTGGGCTCTGATATTTTTGTTCTTCAGTTCCTTGTTTTCTCACTTCACCTGTTGCTTGCGCAGGGATTTGGGAAGCTGGGGAGTTACTTTACATGATGAATCCAGGCTGGTTCACAACACGACCATACTCTTGTTTTTGGATGTCCAGTCACTGGGGCTGTCAGGTGGGCGTGTGCTTTAGGGAGGAGAAGGACAGAGTTTGACATTAGGACTGTGTCAAAAATATCGTTGCACCCCCTTTGGAAAATAAAAGATGAATCACTTTATCTTGGCCTATTGCTGCGTGGCGACTCCATGATAGTTGCTCTTATGTCTGTCCACATGGGCAGGACAGCATTGTGAGCTGAGAGCTGATAGAAACTCTGTGTTTCCATCTGGAATATATAGCTAGCCAAGAAGTAATCTGATAAGTATAAAATATCCTAATGGAATGTCTTCATATAGGCTGTAGGCTTTTTTATTTGAATTGCTAAGATGCTTTTGATGTTGAGGTGAGAGGGGTTGGGTTTTAGATGAATTATTATTGCTTTTGGCTGTGTGTAATAATGCCTTGTTTTTGTTTCTCTTATCCCTCTCCAGAAGTTGATAATTATCATTGTGGTAGTAGTTGTGTTGCTGGGCATTTTAGCGTTGGTTATTGGACTTTCCGTTGGGCTGAAATAAGGGCGGCCCAAGAGGCTGCTGCACTGAAATGTAAGTAAATGGAAGGTTCTCGGGACTCTTTTTTGACTTCCTCTTGACAAATTAGCCTGGGATTTTAAATCCCACTTCTTCCGCCTTGTGATTGTCCTTGGACTTGCTAAAACTTTCAGTTGTCTGTACATTCTATCATCTCTTTAAAATTCTGTTCTTGGGTTCTGGCTGCAGTCGGTGGGTTGGGTCTCCTGGTTGTCCCTACTCTTTGCCTGTTAATGTTTCACTGCCATTCCTGGTCGCTCTGAGCACTCATTCCCATTCCCCTTGCCCAGCAAGCATGCTCCTGTGCTGGGGACAGTCTGTGTCTTGGATCTGGGCTTTGTCTTCTGAATTCTTACTGGATTTCATGGATGTTGGGCTTTGCTTTTTCATCTTCTTTTTAGTGTAAATGAAGTTTTGAATTGGGAATGGGGTCTGTAGGGGTTTGTTTGTGGCTGACTGTTTGGATCGTGAATGATTTAGTAGTTAACATTTTTGAATGTTGAATTGTGCCAGACAATGTACTGAACACCATATACACATAACACTGCCTCCTCACAACCCCCTATGAGATAGGTGCTATTATTATCCACATTTTACAGGCGAAGACACTTCGGCTTAAAGAGAAAAGTAATACAACCAAGTTTGAACATACAGCTAATAGTGGACCTATGGGAGTCCTTACTGACATCTTAGTTTCTCTTTGTACAACAAGGTAGCTACTTATCCTCGTCTACAAAGTCTGAGAACCCTAGTTGATAGTGACTTTAAAATATAGCCTATTAATTTATTTTAAAATCTGGTAAAAAGAATAAGGCTGACCCCTGAATCAAGGTTTCATGTATATAGTGGTAGCATGATAGGAATGATCTAGTTATTGGGACTGTTAAAACTTAAGACTCTTAAGTCAGTGACTTCTTGAATATTACTTTCCTGAATAAAGTATAGTATTTAAAAAAATATATTTTTATTGATTTCAGAGAGGAAGGGAGAGGGAGAGAGAGATAGAAACATCAATGATGAGAGAGAATCATTGATTTGCTGCCTCCTTCATGCCCCCTTCTGGGGATCAAGCCTGCAAGCCAGGTATGTGCCCTTGACCAGAATCGAACCTGGGACCCTTCAGTCAGCAGGCCGATGCTCTATCCACTGAGCCAAACCAGCTAGGGCAAAATATAGTATTTTTGTTTAAAAACTATAAAATGCAGAAAAGGTGAACAGAATTAACATTTAATATTGTTGAAAGCCTTGTACATGTTTTCACATTCAGATATAGTTTTACATGGTTCTGACTATATTACCTATCATTTTGTACCCAGTTACAAAATTGTAAGCATCATTCCACTAATATCTCTTGTAAATCTGCTTGTCAACACAAGATTGTGACTATACTCTCAATTATGTTACATTTCCCCAATGTTGGAGGTTTGTTATTGTTTTGCTATTACTAACATTATGACTAACTTATGTAATAGTTTTCTCATTTCTATTTTCCCTATATTATAAATTCATAGAAGTTGGGTTCTTGAGGTAATAGAAGTATTTTTAAAACTTGATACATACTACTATTTTGGTATCCAGAGGCAATCCTTCACTTTATATTTCTTGCCTCCTCCTTGCATGTAAATAAGGGTCTGAAAGTCAGATTGTTATAGCTGTAAACATTCGCCTTCCTCTGGAGAGAGAAGCAGCAGTGAGGTGATCAACATCGCTTAAGTAATTTATTGACCCCCCCCCCCCAATTTGGAGTCTAGCCATTGTTTCTGTGTGCTTTTAAAGTTCAAGTTTTGCTCTGACTCTTAACTGTATCACTGGAAAGGATGTTAAAACTAAGCAAAGGCATATCTTTCCATATCCTTGGATGAAAGATGTCTTGCAAATTCATATTGCCCCTTACCATTCCTAATTCCAGGAATTCAGAATGTAAATGAATCATTTTTAAATGAGACTAATTGATATATTGCTTTTAGTTGATATGCTAAGTTGCTTACTGCAGGGTTTTCCATCCGTATTCCCTAATAAAGTCAGGACTGAGCGTTACTAAGCCTCCCTTCTGCCTCCATCTGAGGGAGAGTGTTCTCTGAACAGGAGAGAAGGAAGACATCTTACATTTCTCATTCCTAGTTGTGTGGCAGCTATTCTCCTGTCTAGGAGAAGAATGTTAACCCAATTTTCAGACAGGAAAGTTATTTGAAGCTCAATAAGTTAAGAAACTTGCCCAGGTCCACACAGCTCAAAAGGCAGAGTAGCCATAATATAAGCCCTGAGCTTTTCCATATTCTTTTCACTGTGTCTTTCTGCCCTCTAAGAGAAGTGAAGTGTAAGGAGAGTCATAAAGAAGACTGGAGTCCCAGAAAGCTTCTGAAGCATGTGTTTGAAAGGCACTGATGTTGGCTCCACAGTAGAATAGGTGTTTCCAACATGTGATTGTGCCTCCCCACTGATAAGTCCTTCCGTGGGTATGTGACAGCCTGTGTGAAGGATTAGACAAAGGACTAGAGATTTAAAAAGCTTTCCCTCTCATCATAGGGCTTTGTTTCTTTTCTTTTCTTTTTTTTTAAAATATATTTCACTGACTTTCTACAGAGAGGAAGGGAGAGAGACAGAGAGTCAGAAACATCGATGAGAGAGAAACATCAATCAGCTGCCTCCTGCACATCTCCCACTGGGGATGCGCCTGCAACCCAGGCACATGCTCCTGACCGGAACCGAACCTGGGACCCCTCAGTCTGCAAGCCGACGCTCCATCCACTGAGCCAAACCGGCTTCGGCAGTTTCTTATACAGTGGGATTTTTCATTTCAGGTCCTGTGTTGGTGTGTCTATTGGATTTCTCAGGTTTAGCATTTACTTTCCCATTATTCTCCCCTTTTCAGGTATTTCTGATCTTTCCTCTCCACCTTCTAGGTTTGTGGCTGATTCTTAATGTTGCCCTTCAACATCATCCTGTGCACTGATCAGCTCCTCCTTCCCCTGCCTCCCTTAGAGCCCGATTCTACTCCAGCCTGGTGTGGCCACCTTGTCTTCAGATGGGAATGGAGTTTGAATGGCCTTCCCGAAAGAGGATGGGACCCATTTCTTTGTTTCCTGTGACCATCCTTGGACCTGACGCAGCAAACCATCTAGCCCTGGAGGAGTCTAATCTACCTGATGCAACCCTGAGTTTTCCTCAAAACCTGCAGTGTCTGAACCAGCCTGGCTTCTCCTTTCTCCCTCTACTGTGTCAAATTTTTGCCTTGCACCTTGGAAAGCCAATTATTCAAAATCTTCCCAAGGTGCTGTATTTCTACCTCATGGACTGTCATTCTTCTCCCAGAAATTGCATTTTATATTTCTTAGGAGGGTTTCTTTAACAAAGCAAAGGGATTCTTTCCAACAGTAAGGTGTGGACTTGAGTCTTCTACCTGGCAGGTTCCCAGTCCTCACAGTTTGTTGTCCCTGTGTCTTGAAAATATGAGGGATTGGCAGATGTCATTTTGGTCTGAGAGCTGACTTGCTTGAAATTCAGCCTTAAATGAAGCTCTTAGTATATTTAGGTTAGTGGCCAGCTTCGCTATTTGTCTGTGTTGTATTCTCTCATGTTTACTGTAGGTGGCGCCAGTGTGATGCAATCATCTGAGGTTACCATTTATGTAGGCTGAGGAGATGGGATATTTGTTTTCAGGGCTGAGTCTTGGAAACTGGTTGCCTACTGTTAAGGGTGATGCTTTGTGAAGCCACTGCCTTGAAGCCAAATATTTTTTACTTAAAAAAATGTTTGGCATTTAACATTGAGCCAGGAACAAGGTGCTTGAGTCTTTGGCTCTGGAAATGTTTCAGACTGGTGCCAGCACTCCGTCACTCATTTCATGTGTTCCAGGTAAATTTTTATAATTGGCTGATGTATATATCTCTTCATGTGTCTCTCATGAAGTAGGAAGCTAGAAGTGGAGAATATAACCTCAAAAAACAAACCACACACACACACCACACCACACCACACCACACCATACCACACCAAAAATAAACAAAACCCAACAACCTCGAGCTAGGCCAAAAATTAGGTAAGAGACATTGCTTACCTGCAAATGAGTCATAGTAGAAGTAGGATCTTTCCATGTCATGGAGAAGCCTGCTGGTTCTGGATGATGACTGGGAGAATCATAGGTCTTTGGGGTGAGGACTAAGTTGATCTCCATTAAGTTTTTTCTGGTTAGCAGAGATGTGGGAAGTTTTGAAACCTTTCACTATCTGCTGCCTAGGCTAGGCTTGCCCCAGAGCAATTTGATATCATTTGTGTGACCTCTGGAATGTCCTGTCTCCAGGGCCCAGTCTGTTGGGGGACACCAGGAACTACTGGGTAGCTCTTCTATCAGGTTAATAAGCTTGACAGGTGCTTTGTCTCCCATAATCTCATCAGTGAGGAAGCAATAGCTGGGAAATTTTCAAGTGTCATGACTGTGCTGGCCCAGTTTTGAGCCTCTTAGATTCCCTGCTGGTCTCTGCCAGTCTGTCTGATTTATACTTCAGCATTGATTTTAATGCTTTCTAGGGCAGGGTGAGCACCCTCATCCAGACACTGCCCATTGGCTTCCTTTGTAAAAGCTATTTCCAGTCATCGTCCAGCACTCAGACAGAGCCAAGGGGATGCCTCTTGCCCATGGCTATGAAGTTGAAGTGGACTGGCTCTAACAGCAAGGCCAGACAAGCTCTAATCACAGGCGTTTGCTCTCCTGAGATTGAGGTCTGGGGCTTATAGTTTGGAATACAATATAAGTGAAGTTTTTTGTTGTTGTTTGTATTTTTTAAAAAGTACACATGATTATTTTATTGCTATTTAAAAATAAATGACTTTATATTGATTGTGAAACCAGTTGTCTCAGTTTGCCTGCAAAATAGTTAGTGATTGGGCGCCACCATGTGGTGAGTTTAGGCTTTGGAATGGGGTATAAATATTTTTTAAACATGTGCTGGGTGAGATGGAACCGAAGTTCTAATTTTTGAAAATGTTTCAACTCTCAAAGAGTGCAATGTAATTGTATTTGAGTTTCAGAGTTGAGGTGCTCCCCCCAAAGAGTTTGGCCCACTCACTGAGCATAGTGGCTCTAGGAGGAGATGAGGTAAATCAGTGTGATGGTACCTAGCTGGCAGAACATACTACTAGTGAACAGCTATCCTCCAAGATAGCTGTTGACTGAATTTGGAATCTCTCACTTAGAAGGAACAGTCCTACACTCTGGGTTCTGGAAGCCAGATCCATCTCCCCTTTCCTTCATATCCCCTTACATGTCCTGATCCATGTTGTCTACCTTCCATGGGAACTCTGTCCGCACAGTGATGTTGTTTCTCATGTGCTTTTTCTCTCTTCGTCTGGATGAGCAGAAGAAGATCATGATCATGATCTGCTGTATCATCCTTGCGATCATCTTAGCTTCTACCATTGGGGGCATATTTGCCTGAAAAAGGTGAGCCATCTGTGGGGAGGGTCAGGCCTGCTTTCACTTACCTGAAATGGGTGTGTCCCGAGGGCATTCATTGTTTGTCACCAAAGTCTGGGTGGGATTAGGTGTTAGAATAGATGGTTAGAGAAAGCTAATGAGAGAGATGCTTCATAGTGAGAAAAATGAGTGAGGGATTCATTGGCAGTAGGTAGATAGGGAGACAAAGGTGGCAATCTGGTCTGGTAGGAGAATGCTTTCTCTAAGGGTGTTGGTCTACTGCAGTGGTCGGCAAACTCATTAGTCAACAGAGCCAAATATCAACAGTACGACTAAAATTTGAGAGCCAAATTTTTTAAACTTAAACTATATAGGTAGGTACATTGTTATTAACTTAAGGAAGGTACTCCTAAGCTGGCCTTTGCTAAAAATGTCCTCAATCTGATTGAGGTACGTTTGCTGAGGTCGACCCCTTCCAACTCTCCCATCCACACTCATATACTTGTTTCAGATAGACGAGTGTGGATGGGAGAGTTGGAAGGGGTCGACCTCAGCGAACGTACCTCCCGCGGCCTGCGCCGCATCTCCCGTCGTGACCCGACTGACACCCCCCACTTCTTCTAACGCTACTTCTTCAAAATAGACTCGCCCAGGCAGAAAACCGACTTCTGTGCATGGGTCACAAAGTTTCAATTGCACTGTACGTGTGCGCCATCACATGGTATTTTGTGGAAGAGCCACACTCAAGGGGCCAAAGAGCCGCATGTGGCTGGCGAGCCACGGTTTGCCGACCACTGGTCTACTGCAGCAAAATGTGGGCCTTGCCATCTAGGGATGCCCAAAGGATAAAGAATCAGTTCTTGTATTAGAAGCACCCTAAACTCTTTGGAAAAGGGCCACATAGTAAACCTCATGTAAATAAATTTTCTCCTTTACAAGGTTAGGACATATTAACGTAGCCTTGTGAGTAGCCCATTACCCCTGCAGAAAAGGGATTTGTGATCCTGACCTTGAACAACTTGCTGTATAATCTTTGATTTCCCCCCTCCACTTTCTATTATCTCCTTCAGCCCTCATAGGTGGATCCTCGACTGGAATTTTTAATCCTCCGTCCACCTCTGTGGTGCCATCACTTCTCACTAAGGATTCCTCAACAGTGACTCCTCTTTCCATTATGAAACCTCTTATAACACAGGGCATCAGTCAAACACCTACTGAAAGTTATGCAAAGGGAGACATTATGACAATACAGAGTTGGGCAGCGGGCAGTGGTGAAGGAACAGGGAGTACAGAAATACGTAGCTGGTTTGAAGCAATGGACTGCAGGGTAACAGGCACCTCTTCAGGAAATAAAAGCAGATATTGTAGCATACCCAGTTCATCAGGATCAATTGATCAGGGTTGGGCACTTGTTACTTCTGTTCTTCAGGTTCTTCTAAGTCTCGCCTTTGACCAACCCTACATCTGCTTCCTTCTTCAGGGCCCTCTAGTCTTTAAAGTGAAGTGCCTAATGATAGGCACCAGGCATGTCTTGTTCACTGCTGTCCTCAGTTTTAGCACAGTGCCTGCTACTTAGAGGTGCTCCACTATCTGTTGACTTAATTACCTGTATGTAACTAAGCTCTACTTTCTATTCATAAGTCTTTGGATTTCACTCTTAAACCCTGTAAGCCACCAATGGAAAATAGTTAGTATCAGAGGCTGCATAAAATGCCTGGAATGGGTTGATCTACTTATGTAAAAACAAAACAGGATCCCCCTTACAACTTATACTGTAAAGTCCTTTCCCTATGGATGGTGGAGCCATCAGCAGTCTCTCACCCTGCTAAGATGGTTGGTCCCAGGATTGTGGTTTAATAACTGAACATGGGTCCAAAACAAAACAGGTTTATACTTTGGTTGAACTCCTAAGTCATCAATAGTGTGCTCTATGAATCCTAAAGAAGGAGATGAAGATGTTAGGTCAGAAAGGTGAAGTGTGGCTATCACTCACTTCCTTCTTACCCAATCCACACTGCTAACTGAAACTGTACAGCAATGTGTGTACAAGAAACTGTTCCAAACACTGTCCCCAGTTCAAGGTTCACATTTGTTCTATGCAATTTAGTGATATTTTAAGTGATTAACTAAAAATACATTAAATATAGCATACAACTTTTAAGGACCATTCAACTGTTTAGGTAAATTTGTATTTTTGAAAGTAAATTATTTTCTTTGTGGGAGATGTTAACTTTTTAAGAAAAGTGGGATAAAAATATTTGACATTTTAATCAGTGTGCTTTCTACCCACTTTGAAAAGCAAATGATTTAATGTTTCTATCAATTTGTATTTCCTTTAGCATGAAGAATGGATAGAGAATTGCTGGCTAGTCCTGAAAAACAGATTAATCTTGGCAAAGGCAAACAGGGAGCTGGAACCATGGGGCCCTCATTTATATAGCAATAACTATTCAAGTCCTGTGTGGCACACTGCACTGTACTAGAACCCACAGGGATACAAAGATAAAGCCAGATACTCTTCCTCCTTAAACAGTTTCAGACCTAGGAAAGGGCGCACAATTCTAACTTTTGTTTTTCAGTTCCTTTTGCTAAAAGGCAAGAGTGTGTTCCCAATACCTACCCCCAACCCCCAAGATTGAGAGAAGATGGGTAGCTGGGCATGAGTAAATATTTGTTGAATTAACCCATTCACTGTCATTTTATTTCTTCGCTTTTTAAAAAATGTTAGTTTGTTTTTGTAACTAGTAAAAGGTCTTAGAAACTAGCTCCTAAAGTGTGTACATATAAAAGGAAGTACAGATACTAAGTCTGACTTGCATCAGAGGAGGGAGATGCAAACACCTGCTTTAGTCCTGAAGATGTTCACCACATGGCTAGGGAGGACCAGAGCTCCCAAGTCCATCAGGCCTCTTTCTTAATCATTTAAGGGATTAAGAGTGACCAATGAGAAGTTATAACCAGAGGTGATACTGAAACTTTATTTAATATAAATATAATGCACTTTCATCTATAGCACTCGTATGCGGCTCCTTGGTTATGACATCAGAGCTACCCAGACTTTCAAGGTAACTGAGGGGCACAAATATGTAGATTCCTTCTCTCTGTACCTTTATTTCTCATATTCTCACTACACACGGTCAGGCAGGTAGAATTTGCCCCAGTATCGCCCCTTCTGGGTCAGGTCATATGGGCTCAGTACTTTCCGTATCCCTAGCATGTTGGCAGTGGCTATGCGCTCAAAGGTCCAGGGGTTTTGGTTGTTATGCTCTCGTTCCTCTTGATCTTTCCGCATCTTCTCTAGGGTTTCACGGCTCACAGCCTTTGCTGGGAAGGGCAATTTGTGGGCAACCTGGTTGAGGAAACCCTGTACTTCTTTGAATTCACAGCGTCCACCCATCTCTACTATGAGGCGGCCAGTCTTCACAGGAGTCACATAGTGGTCAATGGCGCCTTTGCCGCCCCCCATACGCTGTCCCATACCCTTGCGGGTGATAGGCTTGAAAGGGGCTGGTACTCGCCATAAAGCAAACATGTTCTTGGGGTCCATAGAGCGGTTGATCGTCAGGCGCATCATTTCAAAATGGCCCCAGTGGAGGTAACCACCACCCAGTGCCTAAAAGTGAATGGGAGAATTAGAAGCACATGGGGATTTAGATATCTTAGATGGGCTCTATTCTTATGTCTTCTTTTATAGCAACTGTGGCTTCAACATACAAATGAAAACAAGAGTTATAATAAGGACCATGGAAAGCCTAGGACTGAGTAAGAAATGAGAACAAGGGCCCACTTCAATGGGTAGCCAGGAAAGGCTTCTTTGAGGAGGTGACATTTAAAACTGAGTGAGGCCAGAACAGTAAGAACTAACCAAAGGAAAAAAGACAAGTATTCCAGGCAGAGAATGGTGTAGGTCAGTGGTTGGCAAACTGCGGCTCGTGAGCCACACGTGGCTCTTCGGCCCCTTGAATGTGGCTCTTCCACAAAATACCACGTGCAGGTGTGCATGTACAGCGCGATTGAAACTTCATGGCCCATGCACAGAAGTCGGTATTTTGTGGAAAAGCCACACTCAAGGGGCCAAAAAGCCACATGTGGCTCATGAGACGCAGTTTGCCGACCACTGGTGTAGGTTAAGGCTTGGAGTGTGAGAAGCCAGAGAGGCTGGAGTAGTGAGGAATGGGCAGGCGAGAGTGGACAGGAGGGTCTGAGAGGTAGGAGCTGATCTTGGGGTTGTGGGAAGAGGACTTTAAAACA